AGTAAAGTCTTGGATGTGGATGGGGTTTGAAGTAGTCACAGTAGGGGCTTGATAACAGGCCTAGTGTGGGGGGAAGCGTTAAACAACTGCCTCTACAAGGGGAAAAGTAGAGTAATTGTGCCAATATGTCATCAGTGGTAAATGTGGAAGTGTTCATCAAAGAGCGGTGAGCTGCCCGCCTGACTCTGCCTGCTGCTGTCTGACCAGCTGACAGAATGATAGCTCCTTTGTACTTCTACCTTTTTGTCTCAGAATGTTCTGGCTCCTCACAAATTGAACTCAAGCGTTTGAAGTGACTTGATGCGCTCAAATTCTCCTACCCCCCCTACTACTTCCTTCCACTTGTCCGGCCTGCTTGTCTTCTTCTGAATGCATTCTGCAGACTCAGGCTCCCACAACAACATTTGAGTGCACATCCTGAACCTATATACAACAGAACAGGAACGCTCCCTCTGGCATCTGCAAACTTGTCAGCAACATATCCTCGCAGCAGCAGCAACACAGCAACTACTGCTTCCTTGCAGTTTTCTCCTACGAGACAACACGGAACCCTATTGTCTTTCCATTTAATTGTGCTCCTACAGGCTGCTGGTTAGTCACACAACAGGCCAGACCTCATACCATACCTCAGGGAAGGAAATGGTGTGGTCTAAAACTAAGAATTGGCATTGGATATATGTTCATACAGACGCCCTTGAAGTGTGTACCGACGCTTAGAGGAGCAGCTGAGAAGCCCTGTAGAGCCAATTACACACATAGCTTTAATCTCTTGAGCAAGCTGAAAGGATCGAGGGGGGGGGGGAGAAAAAAGGGAGGATAGGAGAGGGCAATAGTAGGGTACGAATGACAAGCAGGAATGGATTGATGAGGAGAAGTAAGGGACGTCTAGGGAGAAACAGGATAGAGACGGCAGGAGGGTGCTTTGGAAAGAGTTGGAGAAAGAGAGGCTATGGAGAGCTGAGTGGTTTAGAAACGGGAGAAAAGACGGACAGAATGAAGTGAAGGAACATCGCGGTTATGGGGTGAGAAAAGATTGACGAAGAGAGTGAGGGCAGCTCCGAGCCTCAACATGGCGTTAGATGGAGCGCCCCCAGTCAAGACACATATATCCGTCTAACTTTTATCAGTTAAATGGAAACAGCCCTGAGAGCCCCATAGGCGGAACGTGAGACTTCTTACACCTGATGTTTCTATTCCCCCTCAAGCGTTGTCAAAGGCAACAAGGTCTCCCTTTAATGTGTTATATCTGCCTGTCATGTCAGCTGCCTCCGTCTCTGCCTTTGTCTTTCTTACCTTTTCACTCTTTCACCTTTAGCATTGATATCTATAACCCCTATTTTCTCTTCGTACTTTCCTTTTGTTTAACCCTGTCCTCCTCATTTCTTTTTTTCTCTCCGCTAATACTCCCCCCTCCCCTCTACCATGGTAATGTTCTCAGAAATTACAGTGAGGTAAACAGAGCAGGGTGTCGAAATGAAATAACAGCTACAGGGCTGTCAGCTCTAGCGAGTGGGCCATCCGTCAGCGGGAAATGACATGTCAGCTGCCCCCCCCCCCCTCCTGTCACACACACACAGTTGGATTCATCCTGTCCTCCTGGTGGCAAGGTGAAGGAATGATGCTCATCAAAGGCAGTAGCGTAGCCTGGAGCGTTTCCATTAGCTATCTACAACACTGGTCAATGGCATTGGGACACACAGACTCATACACCTGCGCAGCTTTACACTATATAGATTTGAAGGAACAAACGCATAATTACTCTGGGATGGGATATATACACAGGTACACACACGCACACACACCTCGATTACCGTTTCATTCATAGCCTGACAGCAGAGCGTGTGCGAAGGCTGACATTAAAGGAAATGAAATCTCCTTCTGGAATGGGGCCGCCCATCTCACCTCCCGTCAAAATGCTCCCAATTCCACTCCTCTCGTGTAACCTTCTCATCTGGGTATTTAGGGCTTTGTGGTGCGGAACGTCATCAAAGAGGAAACTTAGCGAGGCGGCCGCGCGTAGATGAGGCCTCCCAGAGTTAATCCCCTAGCAAACGGAGCCCCTCTACTATTAGCCCACGCACACAAATTAACGCCTCACGTTCTGTCGCACTCTTTCACCGCGAGTACTGTCACATGCTTATAGTAGAAAGTGCTTTCATTGAAAAGCGTGCGCACACACACATAAACTCTCGTATCGTTGGCTTAGCCCAGTGACTGAGTCAGTCAGTTAACTCTTTGATCCAGACCTCCTGTCTGCATTGGAATATGGAGCGTATTTGACATAATCCTGAAAAACATCGCCTCACATAACCGATGAAACTCAAAGGAAAGCACAGCTGCACACCAAAGGGACTTAGTGGGAGAGTGACACGTGTACAGTAGATTTTTTTACGGGGCAGATTTAATTAAGCCTCATTCACTTCCAAATCCTGTGTTATACAAATTCTTGTGAAGGCTTTCCGAAGCACGTAAATGTGACAAACCTGCCGAGGAAAGAGCAGTATAGTTTGCAGTGAAGTTAGTTAATTGAGTTCCTTTTTAAAAGAGAAAGAGTGTCGGTTTTCCCGCTTTCAGGTTGGGCACCAGCTCCCTCCCAAAGGCTTTAATCAGATCAAACATGTCCTGTCAGATAAGACAGCTAATTAATCAGGGGAGGGACCGGTCTTCTCCTCTGACAGATGGAGGCACGGAGCTGGTGGAGGCACTTCCTCTCCTCCTTCTTAACGTCTTCCTCCGCCGTAAACAGAAAGCAGAACACGACAGAGTTAGACAGCGTTGCCTGTGGTGAAGCACAGAGAGGCTGTAAAGACTCTCAAAGACGGTGTTTGCATGCAGGCTGCAACTGAAGTATCTCCACAACCCCCCACTGAGAAGACAACAGATCTGCACTGAAGATGCTGTTAACAGTACTGCATATGCGTGTGAAAAAGATCACTTAAACTGAATTCAAAGTAAAGTAGTGCTATAAACCGAAAACAAGTAGCATTGTGGTTTACCAATTAAAAAATGTGTTCAATTCTTGTGTATATTGTCTTGATTTTGACTTTGGGCAAAAGTTATTCTACTTGCCTTTGCTTCACTTCTTCTCTTATTGCCGCTTCCTAAGGTTTATGAGACTAATCTTGCACAATCCAATTGGGCCAATCCTGAACTCATGAAATGAACATTATTCTTTGCCTTTATTGTCATTACATACATTTTATAGATCTATGTCTTGCTAAATTGCTAGTGTTATTCATGATAGATATAATAGCTCTCCATTTATAATAGAGCCCAACCATCACACTGATTATTTCCTAACCAAATGGCAATACTCTTTTAAAAGGCCCTCCACTGCTCACACTATTGATCTAAACTAGAATCATGTGTAACCATCTGTTATTATGGGTGAGGGGATGTTTACTTTTGATGTATTGCATTAAATACATACATTTCAATCTAGAACTACGGAAAAGAACACATCTATTAATTATCTTTCAGTTGAATAAACTCAATCGACTGACCCTAATTTAAATTCCTATTTGGATGGTACAAGATGAATCCTCTACAAATACCTGAAGTGGATGTAAATCTTATCAACATGTTCCAGCATTCCCTCATCACATTACGCTTGCCACAAACCACAACATGGATGCCTTTTTGTAATATTGCTTGGTGCTGGCTGCTGTTGCAGGAAAGCTTGGGAGATGTGGGTGTTGGATAAAGAGGAGATGTGATGAATGAGAGCTGGAATCTGATCAGAATCTGGCCCGCTGCTTGATTGGAAGGTTTACTTACAACATGGGCGGGAGGATGGATTGAATGAGATTTGATATGCGAGAAATAATGGGCTGATGTGCATACAGCATCATTAAGATACATATTTAGAGATAAGGATGACATAATGTGGTTTAATGCTTAATTTAGAGACGTGTAGCATAGATGGATGGATAGCTGGTTGACGTACTTGCTCAGTGACAGATTGACTCGTGGGGCTGGGGCTGCTGTTTCCAGCTGTTCTACTGTAGAGCTCTCTGGGCCCTCTGCTACCTCAGGCTCAACCCACCACCAGCTGTGCAGCTTCACATAGCTAGCTGTAGCCTCTGGGCACAACACAGAAAATGCTGTTGTACCATACACCCTACACAGCTTCTAACTTTCTCTCTCTATCTTTCCTTCACTTTAAACCTTAAGGGGACATATTAGGAAGAACTTGCTATTTTCAGTGCTTGTGCGTGATACAGTTTGGTATCAGAAGGGCCTACTAACCCACAAACAGAGAAATAAAACAACCATGTTTGGTAAGCTGTCTTGGTCATAAAACATGAGACTCGGCAAGCTTTGTCCCCTTCCTATTTTACATACAGACTCATTAGAATATCCCCCCCAACCCCATATTTGGGTTTCTGCTTCCAGAGCTTGAGAACTTCCTTTGTAATCTTGCAATTGGCTTTTCAGGGAAGGGTGCTCAAAGAGACAGGTGCTACACTGGTGTTTTGCATAGGGTGAAAACAAGTATATACACACAAAGTTTAAGAAGAAAAAAAAAATAAAATGTTTTAAAGCATGTAAACCTGTTTTTTTGTACACCCAGAATACAGGTATGAACCTGAAAATGTGCTTCATACATGTCACCACTTATTATTGGTTTAAACTCATGAGACACCTGACAAACTGCAACTACATGTTTAGGATACATCTCTATACAGACTTGCACAGGCATTATACTTACCATTCACGCAAATCCATGCTGTGTATGTCTGTCTCACACATAGAGCCTAAGGCAAAGTGAACTATTGGTGTATCCATATGGCATGTGAGCAGATCAATGTGTGAGTGTCAATAAGGCCAAACGTCATGCGTGTGAATGTCGGCTGCATTGCGATGTAATAGCCCAAGAGGCAAAGATGATGCATATTTCCTACTTACTACACTTGTTGGTGATACATTATTTCTCATTTTCCCTCTCCTTTTCTCTCTCCATCTCCTCTATCAATCCTCCCCTACTCTTCTAACCCCTGGCCCTGCAGCAACAGGAGCAGGACCCCACCAACCTGTACATCTCCAACCTGCCGGTGTCTATGGATGAGCAGGAGCTGGAGAACATGCTGAAGCCCCTGGGTCACGTCATCTCCACGAGGATACTGAGGGATGCCAACGGGGTCAGCAGAGGAGTCGGCTTTGCCAGGTAGGTGCTCCTGCTATAGATAGATTACAGGAACGTTATAACATACCTAAGGCAGATATTTGTTGCGTTAATGGGGAACTATGCCCCGTTTCAAAATACATTCATGTTTTCCATATGGTCTGTGACAGTCCAAAGATATGCGTAACCATAAACGACTCTCTCCTTAACCCAAAAGCTAGATTGCTAAAACTCAAATGTGAGATGTCATCAAGTATAAAGTGTGGAACTGCTCTATAGACAATGCATCGGGAAATATGTTCTTAATCAAGGTTTCCCTCTTAAATTCCATTTCACATTTTTAATGTTACATCACTAACAATGAATCATCTGCAAATGCACAGACTGAAATGCACACAAATTAACCAAAACACAGACTTTAAAATGCATTTGTGTGCGTATTCATCACTCTAAAAAGACACTAATCAGATGATCCCGTCTCCAGGAAATGGAAACTTAAAAGGTGATTTGTTTGCCAAGCCTGTTTGACAGTGTGCCACTGGATGAGTTCCTCTTTGTTCATGCCGTCAGCGAGAAATGACATGTCAGCTGAAAAACTTAAGCCACAGTCTCCTACTACATTCCAACATGAATATATGTAGGACATAAACAAATAAAACAAATACAATAGTGCAAGAGAATGTATTAATGGTTGGTCATCTACATTCTTACTCATTCATGTATACCTTCAATTAACCCTTTGTCCTTATTATAGTCAGGTCTGCAATAGTTTACCTACAAGTTCTAACTTTGAATGGTTTATTTCTTTTTCTACTTAGAAAAGTTTCCACTTCAGCTTGTTAATCCCCCAAAGTCATAAACCACTCTGTCCTTGTCCTCGCCAGCAGCCACCAGGCTCTCATTGCTCTCCATATCCTCCCTTGTTTACCCAGAGGAGGCCACTGACGGCCGCAGAGCCGCCATCTTGCAGGGATTTTTCTTAATCACCTGCTCAGGCTGAACTCCTCTCCTATTCCCTGCTCTATTACTGAGGGTTACAGCAGGACAGACAAGCACAAACACACACAAACAGGCACTTAGGCACACATATGAGCATGTGCACAGACATGCCTGTACAAATGTGCATAATAGGCACACACACATGCATTGACGTGTGCTCATGTACCACCACACATATTAGTGTGCAGACTCACACTTATGCACACAGACCGGTAGGCAGCCTCCTGTGGACCAACAAGCAGAGCACAGCAACAACCTGCCACAGGCCACCTGTTCCAGCAGCCCTCTGCGGGGAACAGACATGATGGAAATGGGAGAGTGAGGCGGCAGGAGAGAGAGGGACAGGAGTGTGAAACAATGGCCAGGTGAAAATAACTTATCATAGAGGTTATTATAAAAGAAAAAGTGAAGGTGATGGGAAGGAGACGGCAGTGTGAGATGGAGAAACGTTGAGGAAAAGTAATTGAAACAAGTGAATGTGGGTGTCTGAGAGTGAATCTGAATGATTGGTTACTTGGTTAGGGGAGAAAGGAAAAAAAGATTGTGTAATTGATTAAAACAAATAAGAAGAAGAAGCTTAAAAATATTCATGGATGTGTTTTATGAATTGTAGTTCCTGTTAGCTGTGTCAATAGACAGACAGATAGCTGCTGAGGGTTGGGCCACGAGGGGCATTAGAGAAAGTAAACTGAGCTTAGTGTTTGTGGGCCGATCCATTACTGTTATCAGAGCCCATTACTCCAGTTCCAGCGCTAATCATTGCAGACAGCAGCACCTGATGCCATTAACCAGCAGCACACAAAGAGCCAGCCTGCCTCAACGCCTACCTGGCTCGCTGAATGGCTTCCCCGAAAGTCGCTCGACAGCCTGGCTGCCCGTCTGCCTTATTTACTCCTCGTCTACCCACCTGTTTTCTGTCTACCTACCTTTCTTAAAAGAGTGTTGATCAGGACAGAAACAATGAAAAGCCAGAGGGGATGTGAGGAGGGTGGGTAAAGAGCGCTGGAGAATAGCAAGGGAAGCTGAGCATCAACACTTCCAGTCTGTGTGGTTGTTTCAACCTGATATTCAGCCCATTGTCAAGATAGACAGCAAAAATACCACAACAAATAATCTCAAAGAAGTTTTGCTTTTCAGTACACAAACATATAATTCACAACAAGTAGTTAGTTAGTTTAGTGAAAATGATGTTTGATTTTTGGGGGAATTTTCCTCTCTTTTTAATATATTATATATGTTTATCTGTGAATACATGTTTTTCACAAACTGTTTCACTCTGGGCACAGAATCAAATATTCAGAGCTGGATATCAAACCCAAATACTTTTTTTGGTAGTGATTGAAATATGGAAGGCTTACTTGAATGTGTGCTTTATCCAGTTTATTTTATTATTCTTTGATCAAATATCATTTGAATGATAATGTTAACAATTGTATTTGGAAACAATCCATGTATGGCTTCTTGTGTATACACATGTCATTGGAGAAGTCTGGTCTCTTTTGTTAAATCAAAATTGACAAAACAAATATAATGTAAAAAATGTCATACCATACCCAGCTCTTACTGTATATAATGCATGTTTGTATTACATTTGTTGAATGCCAGTATTGATTTTGACTTGTTCAGTGCATGTGTTTAGGGCCTGTTTAGTGATCAGCTGAGTCAAACCGCTCAGTCTTCCCAAGTATAAGAGTGGACAGAGGAAAGAAAGAGAGATGGGGAAAAACGGTGCAAGAAATTGTGAAAAATTACATATTCTAAAAAGAATCAAGGAGAGGAAAAGGAAGAATGGTGTTGATGTGGTTAGGGTGCACAGAGAAACAAACGGATGCACAAAGAATGAAGAAAATGAGGGCACGGAAAGGGAAAGAGATGAGGCGAAAGAGAGATAGGGTAACGGTGAAAGATGGAGGGAAAACCAAGGTTGAAAGACCGGCAGGAATGAGAGAGACGTCAAAAAGAAGAGGTGCAGACGGGTCGGGAGTAAGATGGATGGGACAGAGAGAGCGATAAAGAAGCTATGTTAAAAAAAAAAGAAGTAAGAAACTAGAGATGGGAAACGGATGAGCGAGAAAGAGGACAGAGAAGTGAGAGGCTGACAGGATCACATGAGTATTCTTGGAGGTGAGACCGCATAAAGCATGACAATCTGGAAAGCAATGCATTCTGAAAATTCTAAGAGCATATTACCATAAGCATAGGAACAGCAATCACTCAAACCTGCACTTAAAAACACACTCATTTTAATATGAGTTATTTTGTGAGTCTATCAAATACCTGCATGGCAACATACCATGGTAAATTCATGTTGGTGTGAATTGTAATAACTTATGTGTTGGTGTAACATTGTATACTTTTGAAAAAAAATGATGTGTTTGATATACTTATGTAAGAGTTTGTATGGGTGTTAGAGTCTCTGTGCTTATGATGTGAGAGATCAGAGCCCTCCTGCTGGCCGGCTGCTCGGCCCACAGACTTTTGATCCAGTTGCTGGAAAAGGAAGAGCTAGTCGGTTAGCTTCCTGTGCTTTCTCTCTCTCTCTCTCTCTCTCTCTCTCTCTCTCTCTCTACTAACTACTCTCTCTCTCTCTCTCTCGCTTCCTGTGCTTTCTCTCTCTCTCTCTCTCTCTCTCTCTCTCTCTCTCAATCCGGAAATAATTAAGCCTGTTGCTCCATGTGTGAAGAGTTTCAGTTCAAAATGGAAACAAGCAATGTTGAGTTGATTACAACCACAGCACTGCTCTCAATGGACTCACCTTAAAATATGTTGCTTTACAAAAAGTACCGTGGTGCACTTGAGAGGTCAACTTTATCTGGGTGGTAACCGTGAAATTAACTGTTTATTCTGATTTTGCTTTTTTTTTTAAACTCTTAATGTACAGTACCACAAGCCATTTCTAATCGTGCCATCATTCAATGTAAAATAATTGTATTTCCTAGGAATGACTGTCGACTTTTGCTACAAATGGATAGTGGCTATTCTTTTCAAATCAAACCCTATGTTTCTGTTCTGTTGCAGGATGGAGTCCACAGAGAAATGTGAGGTTGTGATACAGCATTTCAATGGGAAATACCTGAAAACCCCACCAGGCATTCCAGGTGAGTCTCCCCCTCTTTTTGCTTTACATTGTTCTCTTATCACCCCTTTAATTTCCATCTGGGAAAATGATCACCTTTGCAATGAAAGAAACTTCTTATTCAATTATGGTAATTTCTCATCTGAGATCTGCCGGACAGCTTGATAGATTGTGTACAGCGTTGATTCTGTCACCTCAAGCTAGCTGTCTCTGCTATGGCTGAATAGCTGACGGTTCTGTAAGCCTCTTCCTCTCTCTCAGTCTCTCTTATTCTGTCACCTTCTCTTTCCTTCGCTGTTGGTGGTGCTGCTGCAGACTGAAACTTCTTGGGAAGGAGAAAACCCTTTTAATATTCACACTCATGCCTCTGTGCTGTTCTTTGCAATCTACTTAAGAGCTTGCACTCTCCCCTCTTTCCTCTCCTGCTCCTTCTCTCTGTTGCTGTGTCCTCTCTCCTTCCTATCTTTCTTTCCTGAAGTCACCCTAGACAGTGGAACAAGCTGGCCAAGGAGAAAAACAGGCAGGGGAAACAGGGCGACGGAAACATTTCACAAAATGAAGACAGATGTCGGGACAAGGTGTTGGAAAATAACTTTCTTTTTTATACAGGGCTCAAAGTGGCATCATTGTCCCAAAAGTCTAAAACAATGAGAAATTGGATGATGGGAACAGAGCATTTCCTAAGGGAGTAAGGATCTCAAGAGGGGCTAGCAAAAAGAAAAGCAAGGTGGAAAGGAGAATAAAGATATGAAACAAAGAGTCAAAAGGAAAGGCCAGGATGAATGAAAACTATGCTGGCTAAGCACTTTCGGGGCCAGTGGCAGCGCTTCTGGAAGCCTCCCATGAGCCCCAGCAGGACGTGGGGGCCAGACAGAGCCAAACCGACGAGATCTCCACCACCCCTGCTGCTATTCTATTAACAATACTCACTCCTCCAAACAGCGGGTCAGAAACAGACCCATAAATTGCTCTCCAATGTACAGTAATATCCCAGAGAGACTAGATGTAGAATCTCCATATATGCTGAACTATACTGCATAGCCAGCAGCCATTAAAGGCAAGGTGAGTGGTTATATTGAAGTTGAGCCGTAAGAGGAAACCTTTAAAGCTGTAATATCAGGCTGACCTTCCCCTTTAAGGGTCTATCTCCTGGCCGCGTAAGCTTTATTATTGTTAATGGATTGTTCAGACTTCTGCCAAGCATGAAGATTTACGGCCCTGATCGAGGAAATCTTTTGTGGAATCAGGAATAATTAAGTTTACAAGGTCTGCTCTGCTCCACAGTGCTGCAATCCCTCCTAAAAGGTCCATGACATCTTTAACTTTTATGTATACATGTACCTGAACGTACACACTATAAGTTTGTATAGTTCATTTCTTGCCATGCTTAATTTGGGGGTGATTTGTAAGATAATCAATTTCTCGGTTAGTTACAAATAGGTTATCATTTTGTAATTTAAGTTACAATAAATGACATGTACTCACTTTACTCCTCTTATAAAAATAGTTATTCTTGAAGGGTACATGCATTAATAAGGTTAAAATTCTAAAATCCTCTCCCTCAGATATGTTAATGTTGCATACTGATAGAGTAAGGCCCACTCTGTCATGCCTTTAATGCTTTTACTGTGGTTTTCCATTTACAAGAGTTTGGGCGTTGCTGTAGTGAGCTTTTTTGCCGAATTTATGACATGATGAGTTGCTGTCTGCTAAATGGAGATCTCTGGACATTCCTCTGTTATCAGACTCAGATGTTGCTCTACAGAGGACCCCAGGGCTGTTTCTGTTTCTCAAGCATCCAGCGAGTAGCCCTTTTTAAATGGAGATATGCGGGGGGGGGGCGTGCGGGCGGATGGGCGTGTGTGCGTGCGTGCGTATGTGTGTGTGCTCTTTTTTCACTACATGTGCTTATTTTCTGATTCATGCGTGCATATTAGGATTTATGCATTTTAAAGTGGGAGTATGCACGTAGTATATTTATGTGCTGACTGTATACACTGTGTGTGTGTGTGTGTGTGTGTGTGTGTGTGTGTGTGTGTGTGTGTGTGTGTGTGTGTGTGTGTGTGTGTGTGTGTGTGTGTGTGTGTGTTTGTGTGTCATGTTGGTGGTATTTCCCCAGAGCCCCTTGCTATGCAGGGCAGCTTCTTCATCCATCCTGCTTTGACAGTTCAGCAGCACCCCCCCAGGGGCCCTCGCCACACACAGCACAGCAGGAGCGCGTGTGTGCACGTGCATGCGTATGCTTGTGTGACAGCCATGACTACTATACACAGCCTGAGCCTTGACACATACACACCCACATGCACAACCGCATGAGCACAAATATAGTCATGCAACACTAACTTTGACCTGAATGGAATGTCAACATCCATATAATGCTAATGAGATCCCTTTTTTTCCCACCATTTATCGTTGGTAACATACTCCACATAAACACACACAAAGTTACACAACACTCAGCAGGCATACACACGCATACATACACTCTTCTTGATGTACCAAGGTTGCTCTCCAATCCTCTGAGCCCATATCTATCTGACAAGCCTCTGCATTTCCTACTTAGCTACTCAATCACACCATGTCAAGACATATGTGTGTATGTGTGTGTTTGTGATGGGGGTTGGTGTCGTTATAGTTTGCCCTCCTACATCAGGTGTGTCCAGGGGCAATACAAAAGGATATTGAGTTATAATGTTGCTGTCCAAAACCAGGAAGTATATATCTGGATGTCAGGTGAGAGGTTATTCGTTCAATTCAACTGACCATGGGAAAATAATCGGAAAGGAAGCAGCCATGTTGGCAGGAAGTCAACGATAAGTTGCGGATATGGCAGCAGAGGACTGTGGAGATGCTAGCAGATGGCAATTAATGGCGCCATAGACAGATTCCATACACTTCCTGTTTAAATTGTAATGTAATAACATCCAACTTCCTTGTGATTACATGAGATGTTGAGTTGATATACAGAGTGTGGGATGATGGCAGATGGCTGCTAATGATACTTAAATAGCTTCCTTATTCTTAATGTTATGTTTTGATGAAATCAGGTCTAATATTCTAGTGGTTACATGTTTTATTTAGATGCAATATATCGTGTAATGCACTTTTGATTAATGTGATTGCTACTAAGTGTCGTCATGTACAGAATGTAAGGTGTTATATCAATACTTGTAGACATCGTTTATCAGTGTACCATAAGTAATTAGTTCGTTAAACCTCACAAAAGTAGTTAAAGCAATAAAAGATGTCATTGTAAAAAAGGCAATGCTCGCCAGGAATTTAATGAAATACTTGTCTGTGTGTTCCAGCAAGTTATACAGAAACAAGAACTACAGCACTTGTATATAAATGTGTCTAATAAGCTCTCCAGGTCATGTTTGTTTGGCGAGGCCTGGTTGATAGGAGACGTGCGTAGCTTTCGTCCAACAAGCGAGTCACCGAGGCCTGCTCCAGCCTCTCCACTCTGCCCACGGCTGATTGTGATTCAGAGAGAGGGACATGATCGATAGCCCTGATGGAGCACTACAGCTGTTTAGCTATTCTGTGCAATGCGGCAGCCGCTCTCCCCGTCTCTGTTGCGGGCTGTGAGCGTGCATACGCCCGCACACAGATACAAAGTCATTCACATGCTAGATGGATATAGCCTGTATGCCATAGGACAAATAGGTGTGTATATCGACATATATTCACATGCACAAACACATTCCTTATTTAAATGTATACAAAAGAACATAGGATAGACAAATATAGATGGACTTAAACACCCATGTAGACACAATGGACGCCTTTTTGAGACATCATCAATTTATCCTTATTTTCAGAGCATGTGAATTCACTCAATACACAAAATAAATAGAATTTATGAAATGTGACTACAGCAATAAAGCATAGTGAAGTGAGCCCAACAGGGACGCATTATGATTTACACTGCAACCCTGAGCACTGGGAAAGTCAAAGGAAGCGCAGATAAAAAGTGATTTAATCCGCTGGCTCCACTGAGCCTCGCTGATTAAAGCCCTTCGTCCCACAATGCATTAAACAGCTTAGAGATGACACCCTATGGTAAATGTAATTTGAACCGGAGATACATTAGCCATTGTTTGGTTTTGGCAGGTGAGTAATCCCATGTACATCCCGTATTGTGTGTGAGCCGTGGCAGAGGAAATTGATAACATTTGATACATGTTCTGTGCTGCTCAGGCAACTGCTGCTCTTTGTGCAATTTAACTAGATTTCACTGTCAACAATCGAACAGCAGCTAAATAAACAAGGTGTGTTTTCAGATGGGTTACATACAGGTAGTGTTGAGCGTTAACAAATGACAGTGTCAGACTTCAATGGGTCCAGCTTTTTCATGAATGTCTAACAGTGCAAATGTGCAAATAGAGATTTAGTCCGACTGAATGAGAACTTTCCCTACAGATTCTTCCTTTTCCATTCTGTTGTCGTTTCTCTCTCCATTGTCCCTCTGCCAATATGGCAGCAGAGCTTAGGGTAGGCTCCAATAATGTCCAATAGATGCTGGATAAATAATGGAAACCACATCAGGAAGCAACCACAGTGGCCCTGGGAGATAGAACCAAACGGAAACATGCAATATGTACAAGCTTTCCTGCTTCTTTTTTATATAGTAGTCTGGCATTTCTCTCTCAAACTTTATCTTTTTTCACTATTTCTCTGTCTCTCCTCACCAACACCCTTTTCGAATAAAACATACTGTATATGTAAGCCTACAGTAAAAGGCATATTCTTCATGGGGACGTGTGGAAATCAGTTTTCCAATTTACTTCCCTGATCCATCGGAGATAGAGATGACACCCAGCCTTTGTAGAAAACCGCCAGCTGTCAGGCTTATGCTAGACATAGTTCACAAGGGTTACTAGTTGGCAAGCCCCCCTTTAAAGAAAACACAAAAAGACAGCCCTGAACCCCGAGTGCTGGCCCGACACACACATCTAGTCATTATTTGCACAACACGAGGCCTGCGCCACTGAGGTTGGGGGAGTTGTTGCTGGGGGTGCT